ATAAATTTTGTATCACATAAGATCTTCCTAGTTCCTATTGATTATATTTCAAGTATCCATATGAATTTTAATAAATCAGTTTGTAGATCTCTCGTAATTAACAGGGGGAAGGGATATTACTTAGTACAGTGTTCACGGTTTTTGAATCACGTAAATTTGCGAGGAATTTATATAGGACCATCTCTCGGCTAAGCTAATTTTATATTTACATGCATATGCACAGCGTTTTCGGCTAAATTGGTTTGTAACATGATAGCTAAGCCACCGTTATTATTCAATTAAATCATTCTCGAGTCTAGGCAAAAATACCTCATTACGTATTAGCAATCAGTTAAAAAAAAATACTAGGCCCGAAAATGTATCAGATGTGCAAGGCAATTTAGCTGAAACATAATTCGGATCTAATTTAGCCAATACATGTTGATCGAACTGCGTAGAATTATATATAATAATCATATTTATGCGATATCTGATATTTCGGCTAAATTGTATAGAATGTAAATTGAAGTCATGTGACCCAACTCCTATTAAATAATTTTCGCCAAGAAAAAATTTTGTGAATAGGCACAAGCAATGTTGGGAAAAAATGTCTGAGAATCTTCTTTTCTGGCTAATCATATCCGATAGATCCGCAAGAAATCGAGTGTCCGAGTGATTTTTTTCAACACTGGGCATAAGTAGGTTAGATAAAATCAGCATAAAATATGAAGTAAAAAATAATCAGTATGAAGCGTAGTAGTATTCCGAATTTTCAGATGGCCTATCGGTTTGAATAGCATATGTCAAGCCAATCACTAGATGATCCAATATGGGTTGTATGATTTCACCTGAAAAACAATACATATCAGAATGTATTTTCTCAATGTTCTAACCCTGATTTATTCTGTATATAAAAAGTTCCTATTGCTGACTGGTGTCTCAACATTCCTATCTGCGAATAAAACACAAGGGTGTGTTGGATAAAAATAAGCAATATTTGTTCTAAGAAAAAAGATTGAAGAGCATCTCTAGAAAACAGACCTGAGGTAAACATGAATATACAAATAAATGTATCTCTTTTTTCTAGGCGAGGTGCATAAATAAATATGAAACGATCACCTAAATAATATTTTTTTTTCAGTAGTGTTACATATTTTTCCTAAAACCTATTAAGTGATTTCCCGAAAAAAGATTTCTTTATATTCAATGCTTCAAAAGACTGGAGAAAAGGAAATGAGCAAATTAATTCGTGTTGCTTTCCTTGTTATCCCTACTGGTACATTTTTCGAATATGATCGATGTCAGGTAATTGGTATTAGTATTGAAAAGGATGCACCAGTTACCGCATTAGAATCTCAAATCCAAA